GTGGGAAATTAACGTCTCCTACCCCTAACCCTGTAGGAGACGGGGCCTACGGTTTATTCGTCCTTATCTGAGAACACTAGAATATCTATCCATTCCTTGATGTTATAAAAAGGTCGTGAATTCTCCTCAGTTATTTTAGACCATGAGTATTGGTCCACCCAGGGCATGAACCCTTGACCTCCTGCACAACACAATCCAGCGCTCTAACCAACTGAACTAACTGGGAGGCAGGCTATCTAATAACCCAGCTTTGGACATTGCGGCCCGCGGTGCTAACCAAATAGTCAGCTCACTGCATTTCCCAAATTAGGCTTTACTTTTACTTTTGAGAGTGATTGGCATCTTACGTCTCCTTACTGTATCACTATTGAATCAAGAATTGTGGTTGTGAGAATATAGCAAATGATCACTAACTAAATTGTCAAACAAATTCACCTTGTAAATATCATAGCAAATGTATAGAGATTGGTATGGAGAATATGCAAATTACCCATGTTAGGGTTAAAGTCCTAATTGTTACCATTTACCTTTGTTTGTAACCAATTAAAGGCTAGAAGGGTACTGCCACCTGAACATCCTTTTGACCGAGAACATGAAATCAGTTCCTGGACACTAAGGTCTGTTGTACTCTGGTGATTATAATGAATGGCCCACTGGCTTTCTACACATTCAGTTGCAGTGAAGGCCCTGAATAAACAAGATGAAAGACAACTTAAATTTGAAACACTCACAAATTTAAGACTCATCCAGAGTGAAAAAAAAATATTTGTTTCAATCATTTTCTTCTTAGCTTCTCAGTCACACATTGGAAAAATAAACAAAGTGTAAAACTCACCAACAGCTTCCACACTGTTCCCATCCAGCAGGGCATAAAAAAGAGAGAGCTATCATTAGGAAAAAGTATTTATTTTGCAGCAGGAATGAAGTCATTTTCATCTCTTGATTTAACATTAAATTGTAATTGGCCATCTCAACACTTTCCCCATAATGATTACAGGTATAATCAACATAAACAATACTGTACTATTATGATAATAAAATGAAATTTTTTTTATCGTGCAAATGATTACTGCATCTGAATACAAAATGTACAGTATTAGCTGTTATAAAAATCCATCATTTACAGGCTTTTAAGCATAGACTGAAGCAAACAAAAAGGAATAATGTCACCAGTTAGTCATTCATTGGCTAAATGATCAACATATCATAATGCAACCTTAATCTAAAAATAATTTTTGACGGTATTATTTCAAGATTTTGTTATTGAAATGTTACATAAGTCTGTTAACAATACTTAGACGCAGCAGTGCATGCATATTAAACGGCTGTTACGAAAACTAAGACCCTCAAAAACAAAGACCTAAGACCTAAGACCCGTCTTAGTTTTTGAGATAACAAACACTTAAAGACCCCCTAAAATTGAACCCCTCGAAATATAAAGTCAAATTGTAACCAAAACAGGTCTAATCTGTCAAATTATCTCCTGTCCGACCCTTTCCACCCAGTTTTAGGTCAAATTTAATGCTAAATTTAGGGGTCTTAGTTTTCGTAATCTCCAAAACTAAGACCCCTCTTAGATTTTGTAATTACGAAAACTAAGACCTCAACCAAACCAGTCTGTAAAATGTCTACAAAGTCGAATTAAGACTGTTCAAAGACTATAATCCGTAAAACATCCAAAAACTACAATTGTATGCGTGCTAGACAATCCGTTTCTTCTAAAATAATTGAGGAGAATTTGCTACCTTTCTATAACATCAAAAAATGGTTAGATATTCTAGTCTTCTCGGATAGGGACGAATAAATGGAGGTCCCGTCTCCTGCAGGGTTGGGGGTAGGAGATGTTAATTTCCCACGCACGAGATTACTATGTGATGGAGTCCTCCCCTGGGGTGGGATGGGTGGGTTTACTGGGCCACAAGTTCATTAGCTTCTAGCTATTAAGTCCTACCGTCTATAAATAAAGCCAGCCAGCCAGCCTAACAATTTGCACACATATATTTTCAGCATTGTGGTTTTATAAAGACAATGAAAGCCCTACACTACCTACGTATAATTGTACACTGAAAATATGCCTCACCCCAATTGATCTTCAATTTTGTTGTTTATCCTTTAAATCATAAAATTGGCTTTCTATTGGAGATGGATGTTTTTCTATGTGTCTCTGCGATCGAGATTGCGTTACCAGTGACAGTGCTGAATAACTTATGCACACACACTAGGTTTTGGTGGTTGCACGTGGACACTAAATAAGAGCCCACAGAAAGCTCCTCTTTGATAATAAATCCAGTTAGATTTCCCGTGTTACTGTAACATCATGAAGTGAAGAAATGTGACAAAAAAGTGAAGAAAAAATATGATGTCTTCACAAATGGTTTTACAAAATGGGGTGTAATCCAGCTGTCAAGGAAACTCTCCTGACAAGTCCAAGCTCTAGAAAATAAAATTTCCCTGGCAGAATCAGTCACATCTACTGAGTTCTACGTTTTGCCTACGGATAATATCGGCAAGCAACAGTAGCCACCCTAGATCCACTTCACAGGTTTCGAAAGTTTTTACGCAAGAAGTGATTGGTAGCAGCCAGGACAAATTGGAAAACAAACCTTGGGGAGTCGCAAGGAATACCTGGTCGTGAATTCCGGTGTCGGTGATTAACTCCTTTGTTCGGAAGCAAATAAAATCGATGTTAGCGCTTTCCCATATGGCAAGCACAGCAGTGTTTTTGCTTGATTGATCAAATATGAGCTTTCTGTGGGTTCTTAATTTAATGTCCACGGTCGTAATTCAACTTTGTAGACATTTTTAAAGAATGGTTTGGTGGGGGTCTTAGTTTTCGAAATTACGAAAAGACCCCAAAATTTACCATTAAATTTGACCTAAAACTCAGTGGAAAGGATCAGACAGGAGATAATTTGACAGATTAGACCTGTTTTGGTTACAATTTGACTTTATATTTCAAC